CTGATTGGGCAGAAAAACACAAAGATTTTCTAACACCAATCAGATGCCAGAACGACTGCGACAGAGGAAAAAGCGAAGATCTATTAATATAGAGGGTTTGGTTAAATGTCAGAAACTAGCGACTTTGGTTGCTGATTTTTTTTATTATTATTATTTTCTGTTTTCCCACTTTGTACTGATGTGATGGGCATTATTTTCCAAATAGGACGAGATGGACGCGATGGGATAGTTGGAGCAAAGGTTAGTTTTTACACCAAAAAATATATTATGGAAATAAAAGTCAAGGAATAGAGATGTGCTGAACTTTACAATAGAACATCAATCAAACGGTTGCTAGGGCTACCAAAGGTTATTCTTATCCATTTTTCATTATCCAGGGGGAGAAAGATGAATCAGGCATGTGTAGTGTGAATGAAAAAGCTGGTGTCAAGGTGGGAAAATTTGTATTTATCATATCTAACCTAAAGATGTGAAAATCTTTGTTAATTTGGTTTTGAGTAATTTTATCTGCCTTGATCTGAGTTGACACTTGAGCTTTTACCAAGCACTTGGTTTCAGTTTTGAAATGGTAAAAGAATTATTATTTTTTTTTGTCAAGGGAAACATTTTCCCTTACTTATCTGAGTTTGACACTTTCAATGAAGTGTGTTTCTAGTACATTAAAGTTTGATTTTTTTTCAGGGGAAGAAGGGTGAACCAGGGCAAAAGGGAAGGGATGGTAGTTCTAGTTCCAAAGTAAGTTCCATGAATCATTCAATCACTGTGAATGTATAAAAATCATGTATGTGAACTGCGGTTTAAGAATTGAATATGAAAGCGATCTTAGTAATGAATCGTTCACTTGAATTATAGAACTCAACAGAAACTGATATTAATAAGCACGTGTGAGGATTTGTCACTACACAGCTAGGGGGGACAGCAACTTCCTGAGGACAGTCCAACACAACTTAAGATATGAGAAGATTTAAAAAATTCACGTCTCCAACTTGTTTGAATAAAAATAAACGAGGCAAATATCATCAGTTCAAATCTGTTCCCAGAACTACATAGCATGTCTCGATTGCAGAATTCTTTTTTCCTTTTTTTTTTTTTTTTTTTTTTTTCATCGAGGGTGAGAAAGGATCTGCTGGACAAAAAGGATCATCACAGGGAGAAAAAGGACAGAAAGGAAAAAGGAATGCCGGGAACATGCGATCACCAGGTATGAAAAGATAATTGGCTTGAATATTATGACTTAAAAGTGTAATAGCCCTTTTTTCGCTTTAGAGTAATGTCATAATCCCATAAAAGGTATTTTTTTCGGAAATAGCACGATCTGGTGTTCTTTAACATACCATTTTTTTGATCATTCTTTGCAGAGCTCCTTGTCTTCCTCCACGAAAAGAGAATGCTGTAAAGTTGGTAGGAATAATATGTCACTGTTTTTTGTTGTTGTTTTTTTTTAATGAAACACGTGCGTAATAAACGTCCCATTTGACCTAGATCACTGTCTAGGTTCATACAGAATTTTAGTATAATTCTTTAATTTTTTTTCTTTTGGAAAGGGGGGAAGAAAAAAAGTTTGCAAACCAGGAGCCGGAGGCGAGTGATCTAAAACCTTTTTGTCTGACTAGTTTTCGTTTGCATAATTATAAATTATTTTATCAATAACCTTTTTAAGGAAAATCCTATTTACCAATACTAGTATTTTATTTAAGCTAAAACATGGCAGCTTTTCCTACTCGGCGATTAGTTTAGGGAAATTTAGTCGAGGGTTTCTGAAGTTCTTTCACTTTTACCGCGCCGCGAAAAATTAAGGCTTGAAACGGCTCGACCAGTTAGTTTCATTGCGTTTACAATAAAAAAAAATTGAAAAAATTTTACAAAAATAAAATATTTCTCGTTGTTTTTGGCATTCGTCCTCTTCGTTCCCTCCAAAGCAAAGGCCTTCATCAAACTGGGAATTCGTCCTGTATGCCACCATTTCTTGGGAAATGAAGATGTTTCGTGTTTTTATGGGTTTACTAGCACAATCAACGATACGATAGAGTTCTGAGATGAAGAAGTGAGTGAGTGTAACAATTTAACTCCTCTCTTGACCCAATTTTTACCCGATGTCACCCAGCTGTGCTACTGACTGTTTTTTTCGCAGTATCTTGGTAGTTCGAAACTGGCACTCAGTTACAATTGTTAGTACTGTTATTAAACAACAAACATATGAAATACATATATATGAACTGCGGTTATGAAACGTATATGTGCACGATCCTTCGCAGTAAAGCACTATTTAAGCAATAGTGAAAATCAGGCCTGAAAAAAATTCAGGCCTGTACGGGATTCGAACCACTGACCTCTGCGATACTAGTGCAGCGCTCTACCAATTGAGCTAACAAGCCAACTGGGAGCAGGCCATCAAATTAATTCGACATAAACCCGTAGATGATAAATCAAACAACAAACATATGAAATACATATATATGAACTGCGGTTATGAAACGTATATGTGCACGATCCTTCGCAGTAAAGCACTATTTAAGCAATAGTGAAAATCAGACCTGAAAAAAATTCAGGCCTGTACGGGATTCGAACCACTGACCTCTGCGATACTAGTGCAGCGCTCTACCAATTGAGCTAACAAGCCAACTGGGAGCAGGCCATCAAATTAATTCGACATAAACCCGTAGATGATAAATCAAACAACAAACATATGAAATACNAGATGCACGTTTCACAAATTTGTCGGATCGTTGCGTTTTAAAACACTTTATAGTGACACTTGACTTCATTTAGCTTTGATTTTCTCCATTTTTCTCGTTAAATTTGAGCTTTTCATTCACAGTTATCAATTAACTGGATCAAATTCGCACGCTCAAACCAAAGCATAAAATGTGGCGTGTTTTTGGCCAGCCAATAGGGACGTTTGTTTACTTTTTTGTACGTTGTGAGAGTTTTGCACTCTGTCACAATAAAAAAGCTTCTTCGCACAGATCCTTGTTGTCGCTCTGTTATAAAATAATTTGTTCATGCTTTTAGCTGTGCGTTTATCGAGTTATGGATGCACGCGGGAAGTTTGGAAAACCCTAAAAAAGCTAGAGTAGTTCTCGGCTGCCCCTCGAGCCACTCTTACGCATTTTTCGTGCTCTCCAAACTTCCCGCGTGCATCATTACTCGATATACGCACGCTAAGCATGAGAAAATTCTTAACTTTCAAATAAAAGTTAATAAATCAGGAAGGAGTCATAATCTCGTAAATGGGCGAACCTCGTGTGTGAATATTCTTGGAAATTCACGTTGTCTGGTAGTGGAACGTCCTCTTTCATGTATAAAAACTAAATCAAAATTAGAGACGAGTCCTTGGACGAAGAAAAAGAAAAAACAGGCCCAAAGAAGAGAGAAATGGCACCATTTTGTCAGGAAAAAAAATTCCTGGTACTCCGGATCCTCTCCATGCTTGCATCCAAATTGCGAACAAAGAAGTCGCCATCAAATCCACATTTGTCGTACATAAGGTTAAAACAAAAAGTTTTCCTTTTAAGAAGCAAGTACCAGCCTTGATAAAAAATCATAGGCAATCGCCTCGAATCGTATGAAATCATGAATAAACTTACCCGAGGGAACTCATTTTAGCGATAAGGGTTACATAGGTTACATATGTTAATTGACCCATAGGGGCTTTTCAGGGGCCAACACCCACCCACCCCATCCCAGGGGAGGACATCCACCAAACAGTAGTCTTGTGCTTGGGAAATTAACGTCTTCTACCCCTAACCCTGCAGACTAACCCCCTAACCCTGTATCTCAAGAGAACGTGTTTTTAAAAAAAACGTTCTCTAGTGATACCTGAGAAAGTATTCAGTATAATTTCTGGTAAGATTTTTGCGGACGGTCTGATCGATTTCTCTTCTTGTGCTGAGACTGAAACTTTTCACCTCGAGCAAAGCTCCGTCGCACGGCCCAGAAAAACATGGCGAGCAACTGAACTTCTTGTGTATGTCCGTGTTAAAACACACGAAAGGACTCTAAAGCACACTTCACTCTGATTGGGCAGAAAAACACAAAGATTTTCTAACACCAATCAGATGGCAGAACGACTGCGACCGTTTGGAACTAGTCTTGTAAGACAATGTCCCCAGGGGCTCTTCAT